ATGTAAAAAAGTTCAAAAGACTATTAAATGTATGCTTATAAACATTGTGTATTCTCACATTGAATTCATTGGTTAGATGTTTCTGTGTATTTATTCTGTTGACATCTCCATACTGGTGGACAAATTCATCTTTCTTCTTATACTGGGGTTTCCTTCTGAAAACTCGTACAAAGCATGGTAGAGAAAAACGTATTGGTCCTAAAGATGATACAATGTTAAACGATTCTTCTTACTTTTGACTATGCATATTCCATTTTTAAAACTAGATTGCATTCATCACAAAAATATTTCATTTTTTATTGTAGTAGTTTTCTCCAGACAACAGATATTCTTTCTCTCTCTCTCTCTCTTCTCTCTCTCTCTCGATTTGTGTATGTGTGAGAGTATTTTTATCTCCATCTCAATCTCTCATCACTCCTTTTTTAATTCAAGATAGAGCAGTATACATGAGTAAAAATTGCAGTTTCTTTATATACGTACCACATTCTGTATCATTGTCATCCTGTTTCTACGCATGGCCTTGACATACTCTATGACGTTGACCTTGCCCTTGTCCTTGGCGTACCTGGACAAAACGTCAAGGGCGATAAATGTCCCAGTTCGCCCAATTCCCGCACTGTAACACATTTATGTATGAAGAGAAAAAATACATTGGCTACAAACAGTTAAGCGATGAAGATAATACGAGACTGAAGCTCTACTGGTTTATATCTATAGCAAAGGAAGAGAAAAGTACTTAAGCTGTTGGGAATTGAAACTTTATAACAGCAATAAATAGAATAATGACCCTTGATTCAGTCTTTCTATGTTCTTAGTGTAGTCTACTTGTGTGCCAAGTTATATATATTATTATCAGACTAAAACTACTGTAATTGGAATAGCATTTTGAGAGTATTTAAGAGAAATTTCTATTTTTAGTAACCAAGGCAATAATGTTCATCAGTCAAAAACTGATACAAAGAATTGTGTATCTTAGTGTAGTCTACTTGTGTGCCAAGTTAAATTAAAATCAGACCAAAACTGTTGGATACATAGCATTTTGAAAGAATTTCACAGAAATTTTCTATTTTTAGTAATCAAGGCAATACCATTCATCAAAAACAAAAACCTATAGAGAAAATTATGTATCTTACTGTAGTCTACTTTCTGTGCCAAGTTAAAATGAAATCAGACCAAAACTGTAGGAGACATAGCATTTTGAAAGGATTTCATAGAAATTTCTATTTTTAGTAACAACGGCAATACTGTTCATCGAAATTAAAACCAAAACACAAAATTATGTAGCTTAGTGTAGTCTACTTGTGTGCAAAGTTATAATGAAATCAGACTATAACTGTGGGAGGAGTAGCATTTTGAAAGAATTTCACAGAAATTTGAATTTTCAGTAACAACGGTAACACCGTTCATCGAAATCAAAAACCGATACAAAGAATTATGTATCTCAGTGTAGTCTAGTTGTGTGATAAGTTATTTTGAAATTAGACAAAAACTGTAGGAGGAGTAGCATTCTGAAAGAATTTCAAAGAAATTTCTAATTTTAGTTACCACGGCAACACTGTTCATCGAAATCATAAACCGATACACAGAATTATTATCTTAGTATAATCTACTTGTGTGCCAAGTTATATTGAAATTAAACAAAAACTGTAGGAGAAGCATTTCGAAAAATTGTTTACAGACAGACAGACAGACAGACAGACAGACGCCGGATGCATTACTATCGCATAAGCTCTTCTGGTCTCTGACCAGTAGAGCTAAAAAGTAGATGGGTTGAAAAATATATAAAGAGAAGTTAAGTTTCTTTATCTTCTTTTAAATTTGAAGGTATAGTATTTTTTTCAGGACAATAGCATCTTATATAACGGATATGATGCTCAAAATTTAGGCCATTAATGTATAAAGTATGTCCAGAGAAATTACCTGCAATGAACAATTATTGGATGTTGAGAAGGCTTGATTTTGTGTCTGAAGTGTCGGTGAAATACAACTAAATTCAGAGGATTTGGAGTCCCGTGATCTGGCCATCGGGTGAAGTGATACTGTACGACCGTCCTTGACCCAGTGACCTTAAAATAAGCATGCACATTGCAATTAATGTATGATGAATTGCAATTATGGCGTCTACCTTTAATCTACATAAAATACATGTTTCTACATTTTTATCAAAATGTTATGAGTATTTATATATACCTTCTTTTTCCGCACAGTCATTTTTCTCTGGACGAAATACGCATATACTTTCTCTTCTACCAAAGTTACGGAAAATGGATTGATTTCCAGATCTTTCCCTTCATCTGGCCAATATTGGTGACATTTCACCTAAAAGAAGGTTCATGTTAAAAAAATTTTGAATTTTTGTTAAAAAAAATGTGGAAATAAAATTTATGTTTCTATTAAGTTTGAAGGAAATTGATACAGTTTAAGGACTAGAAAATCTTTAAAACTGTGATTTCAAAACCAGGTTAAAGGAGATTTAGTCGACAAAACTGAGGATTATAATATTTTATAATTAAATATTTTTCTTTAAACTATGACACAAGTGATGACAACTTAAATAAAAGGATATTACATCAAAAAAATTACTTTATATACTCTAATATATAAAGTTACACATTCAACCTTTGGTCCTTCAATTAGGTTGGTCAACATAACGATGTATTCCACATGCTCCTGCCATATCATTCTCCAGTGATCAACTAAAGTGTTTTCACGTGGGCCTAAAGGAATATAGTAAGCTTTTAGTGAAAGAAATAGTCAAAGGTAAAAGATTCTTATTATTCAAAGGAACAATATCATTTTAAAAAAAAAGTTTTATTTTTCAGATGGATTTTGACAATTTGATATTTTTTACCTTGACAAGCAATGAATTCCTTTTCCCCCTCCATATTCTAAAATAAAAATGTTACAATGCAATTAAAAAAACAATAATATCATGTTCACACTAAAATACCTTCAATAGAAATTAAAGTAAAGTATATGTGTTTGTTACCTCAATATAGTTTGCATTTATGTAATCTGTAGTGAAGCCATTACCAACTTCTAAAATTACTCGTGAATGATCGTCTGTAAGAAAATTATGAATTTCTATTATTAGTGTCTATTACAGTTAAATCACATACTATTTTAGTGAAATATATATATAATTTCTGTTATGGTAATGCGGAATATCAAAACACTTCAAAAAGATATTAAAGAATAACATGTTTTCAGTGTAAGATATCCAATCAAATTCACATGTTACAATCTGTGCGATAGAATATTTCCTGAATATCCAATATTGTTGTATAAATTTATTAAGAATGTAAAGCGTAAGTTTATATTGGATATTCAGCGTGACCTACGTCAAAACTTGTCAATCCGCTTGACGTTAATATAAATTTTGCACAATTAAATAGAAAGTTTAATGCAAAATTTTGGGGTTTTTATGCTACACTTAATGGAAGAAAATTAAAGTATAAGGAATGAATTTAGCTACCCAAGTTAAACTCAAAGCTGTTTATTTTAAACGCGTCAACTGTTCAAGCAAAGTTAAAACCGTATAAACTGTGGAACTATTAAAGGAATTCCTATATATTAAGATGAAAAGAATATTATAATATAATTTTATTCGATGGCTTAAGAAACTCAAAGAAACTTTTCTTTTCAAATTTTAATTAACATTCAAAAGAACCATAGCTGTCTTACCGGCGACACGACCGACTAAAGTATTTAAATGGAAATCACCTGTGTCTATTTATAGATCTGTACATTTACCTTTTCGATTAAAGATCAAACTACATGTATGTTATCATTTGTAGACCAGTGTTATATTTTCAAAGTTGCAAGTTTGTTACATTACCCTCATTTTACTTCTTCAATTCTCTTATTCTAAACAAGATTTTTAGAACATTTAAAAAATAAAACAAGCTAGCAGCTATGACTTTGGGTGATTAGAATAGATTAATTAGGACTGGGTTTTTTTACCCGAGATTTTTTCAAGGTGTTATGTTGTATTATATATCTCTTACATTATTTATAGATGTATAATAAAATAATTAAAGAAATCATAGGAAAAATGCACCGAGAGAAAAAAAAGGCATTGATTAGAAACACGTACTGTGAGACTCGAACTCACGATCCTTATGTATACAACCTGTAATCATACCACTATGCCACGAAATCTTTGTAATCGGATGGATAAATTTAAGACAAATTCTTGAATCTTTAAATAATATGACAAGAAAAATTAAATACGAATTTTCAACATTTTCAATATGAAGACCACCTTTAACAAAAATTATCTCAATGTAATGAAGTGCAGTCATATCCAAATAAAATTATTAAGACTTGTTTTTTGGTTATTGGTGGTCTTTTGCTACAGTTTGTCATTGTTTAGGGGGATACCTCAGTATTTACTATATTCTCCATATAAAATAAAGGATTTTTATATCTATCATACGAGGGAACTATTAATATCAAATATTATTTTTGTGTGATTTGCTTTAAGGCATGTATAAGCTAACAGTGTATGACAAAATTTTGGTTAAACAATGTATTTCAAAAATCACTACTAGAGCAAGCGAAAGTGACTATCAAATGCGCTATTGCCATTTTATTCAAGTATTGTTTATATACGTTCTTACTGAAAATGAAATAATAAATGATAAGAATGGATAATTTTACATGGAAAAGTGGTTTTGAATCGATTCCTGGGCATGTTTTCTGCTGATTTAGCTGTCTCGCAGGCAAATCTTTCTCCATAAGGAAGAGACTAAAATAGATAAAATACTGCTCAGTGATCAAAGGGTACTATGCAAAATGGTATTCATCAATATAATCGCTTTGAAATGAAAACGTTGTAAATCGGATACGTTAAAATGATAAAAAAGAACTGTATTTCTCATAGAAAATGCCCATTTTTTTTTTTTGGATGAAGTACTCTTTATACATTCTAAGGTTGAAATGGAAGGAATGTAAAAAAAACGAAAGGCTTAAGGCTAATCAACGTGAAATTGTAAAATAAGAAAATGATAATAAGCAATTCAATAATAATATTTTCACTAAAAATGATTAAGTACTGACCTTAAATTCCTTATGAAATATTTCATTTTCCTTGGCTTCTCTCTCAGTGATTATCCTCAGTAGGTCAGACACAGCGATATCCTTAGCCACAGATAGATCATTATAATACACAGCCTCCTCAGGGTTCTCCATTTGTGGTTCTTCTTCTGGGTCCTCTATCGGTACCGAAACATTACCTATGTTTGTGTACAACTTGTTTTCTGTTGTCATGGTAAAAGATAATCAATTAAATTAAAAACTGAAAATCTTAAGAGACGTAAGCAAATTCATTTTGAAGAAAATGTAGAACCTTATAAACTTCTAATATTTACCAGAAGATGGGGCATGCTCTTTTTTATAGAAGACCATATCTGATTTGGAATTTTGACGCATTCGTCGTTTGTATCTTCAATAAAAATATTATAAAATTAAATTTTTCCAACAGAATCATACATTTAAACAAGAGTGTCATTTATTATCATTAGATTCACATATTGGTTTCCTTTGAAATAATTGAAGTATTAAATAATTAAATAATTGAAGTCAATAGATATTTCAAACATACCTGAGAAAAATGACTATGATGATTATTAAAACCAAAAGAAATAGTACAGCACCTAACCCAGCACCAATAGCTGTAGTCGGCAAAGAAGTCGGGTCACTTACAGCAAGTGCTGGAAAAGAAGTATTTAACATAACAAATGAAATTTTGGGTCGAATATTAAAATAAATAACAAAGCACAATGAACAAAATATGTTTTAAAATAAGCCTTAATCATAATAAAATAGTTCAAAATCTACTAAGGTAGAACAAAAGTTCTTTTGTATTATATGACCAAATACAATTTATTTTTGACATAATACACATATGCATTTTCCCTTCATTTCTAAAAGTCGCTCGAATGGCGCAGTGATTAGAGCGTCTGCTCTAGAGTCGCGAAGTAAAGAGTCAATCCTTACGTCGCGGGTTCGAATCCCACTGTGGGACGTGAAGACCGGTCCTTTGGATGAGACCGTATAAACCGAGGTCCCGTGTCGCAGTAGAAGCTGGTACGAAAAAGATCCCTCCCTGCTCAATGGCCTTGAGTGCCGAGAATAAAACAAAATTTGCAGCTCTCCACCGGCAAGTGGTGGCGTCTCCATATGAGTGAAAAATTCTCGAGAGGGACGTTAAGCAATATACAATCAGTCAATTATTTCTAAAACGTTTAAAAAGACATATCTTTTCAATTAAAGTTTTATTTGAGTTCATAAAATTATATATATTTCTAAAATGATATAATACTCTCTTATGAATTATTTTATCTTAAAAATAAACATTATCAAAAATAATTTTACGAATGCCAAATGTATCCTGGTCAACATACCTATGAAACATTTCTCATCCACAAAGTGTCCCTTACATCCTCCTATACAGGAACCATTGTTTGAGAGACAGGTTCTGTTCAAACAGTTTGAACTACACTGAGATTCACACTCATGACCATAATAATCCGGTTTACAAACTAAAAAAAATAAAATATTTATATGCAATTTGTAACTGGTATTTAAAATATCAAATTAAAATGATTGTAAGATAACCTCAATTTACAAACGCCAAACTTTTATACCCAAAAACAATATTTAGAAAATGTCAGGTTTTTGTCAAAAAAGTGTTTTCTAAATTAATACCGTCACAGTATCGTCCCTGCCATCCTGTCTTACAAGCACAACTCCCATCGGACTGATGACATCCGGAATCACACCCACCACCACAGGCCTTGAGACAGTCTGGTCCAAATTTACCGTCAATACAACCAGAATCACACAAACCACTGCTTTTACTGCATACCTTTTTACAGTTTTGATTACAGGTCCTATCACATTGATCTCCATATTTACCAGCTGGACATGCTCCCTCACAACTCCCCGAGTCTCTGTTGCAACTAGATGGACATGAAGCACTACATCTCTGTTCACATTTCTGTGAATAAAATCCTCTCTCACACCCAATAGTGCAAACACCAGTAACATTGTTGCATGCCTGGCTGATACAATTTACACTGCACATGTTTGAGCAATCATCTCCATAATGAGTCGCATCACATTCTATAAGTAGTAAAAATCAAATTGATGTTTTTGATATTGATCTAAAGCTTGAAAATAATTTGTATACAAAATCCGACATGATCTAACATTTTGCTAATGTCAGAAACTGCTTATGTTATGAAATCATAAAGAAAAATATTACATGTACATTATGGCATCATCAACAATGACGTTCACCAACAATTGAGGAAAACTTTAAAATCAAAAATCTTACTGTTGCAAATTCCTCCAGTCCAATTCGGTTTACATCCATTAATGCAAATTCCATATCTGTTGCAGTTGGTTTGTTTGCAGTTTTCACTACATTCATTTTCACAATAAACCCCATAGAAACCGTATTTGCAACCACGACTGCAATAGCCATTTTCTTTATTACATTCCAAATCGAGGCAAGTGTCACTACACTGTCTATCACACTTCTCTTCATAATAACCTAATTTACAGGTGTCACAATGTCCGGTATATCTAGAACAATTTCCAGTACTGCAGTTACCACAAGTAATATTACAAAAATCACCATAATAACCAGATACACATCCAGTTGTACAAATTCCCGTGTATTTGTTACATTTTCGTCCCGAACACTTTGCATAACAATCCTTCTGACATATATCTCCAAAGTATCCATCGCTGCAGGAATAGCAAAATCCATTTGTGTTGATGCAATATCTCGATTTGCACGAAGTTGGACAAATTTTCTGGCAATTATCTCCCCAACGTCCCTGATAACATTGGATGCAGTTGCCAAATTCATTGCATTGCTGGTCTACACAATTACTGCTACAGGCTAAGAGTAACGATTAACATAACGTTTATTATTATAAATAAATACAATTGTATTTGTCAAAACAAGAAATCTAGCAAAGAATATGAAACTTATAATAACTGAAGGGTTCGGTATGATAAAAAAAGAAATCCAAAATATAAAGGTTAAATGAGGATTCAAACTTTAACATGCATTTTCAATAAGTAGTATTTTTAATATGAATACTTACGACAGCCGGTTGCAATGTCACAGTTATAACAACCTTCACAAGATGAACAGTTTGGGCCATAATAACCAACTTCACAACCTGATTAAAAAAAGATTTAATCAAGGAATGAATTTAGCTTTTTGAATAAAAAAAGTATAATGTAACAGTTAAGGTGATTCGAACCTGTCACCAAAGTAATTCGATTTTTTAAAAAATGATAAGAATGATACTAGAGGATTTCCTGTCTTGAATAATGACAGTTTTGATATGGGTCAATGCGCTAGTTTCCATGGCAACGGCCTCTGAACATGAGAGTGTTGAAATTGTCTGCTGTGCAAAAATAAACAAGTAATAGACATAATCAAAATTAAAAATAAAAAGATTTTATTTTCAATCGTATTTTTATATCATGGAAATGAAAGATAATAACATTGTCTTCCTACAGAATAAATAAAAGTATGGAAATAGTAAATGATGTTTAAGAAATTTAATCCGAATTTCCTCAGACTGCTTTTAAAAATGCCATTTTCAGCATGACTTCCAATTGATAAAATGGCAAAAAATCAAACCAAGAGTAAATGGAATTTTCTCTTTTAACTTTCTTTGAATAGCAGTGAAACAAAGCTTTAAACCTTGGAAAAAAAATTGATAGGTTCATGAGTCCGGAAGAAAGATATAATCATCTGACTTTCATTGGGTCTTGCTCAATTTTTAGCCTTTTCCAAAAACAACATTTATATATGAAAAGATAAACACAAAACATCTTAAAAGTTTGCATAAAATAATCAAATACATTGTATAATTTATCAATTCTGAACATTTGAGGTGAAAATATTCAATAAAATAGTCATTAGCTTTAGAAACATTAAAATAATCTCTCAGTTCGAATTTCCTCTGATATATTGAAACTAAATGTATTTTTCAAATATGCAATGTAATATTTAGGCCAACATTTTTTTTTCTTTTAAGCTTACAAACCTGCTGCTCAAGTTTTTGAATTATCAGGGGAAAAAATGAGGAAAACAAGATTTTTTTTTCTTTCTGATGTCTAATTGAATTGATTGAAATGTCAAATTTATGAACTCGTACTTCCGGTTTTATGATTATGGCGGCAGTAGACCTGCAAAGTCTATAGGTATAGCAGCACCATTTGGTTCAGTGTAAAAAAAAAATGATAATCTTTTGTTTTTTATAAATATGCTTTTCGTTTTGGGGTTTTTTGTTTGTTTGTTTGTTTGTTTGTTTTTTTTTTTCGGGGGGGGGGGGGGGGGTTGTATATCAGATTTTGAATTTCAGTAAAATTGTAGAATCTGAAAATTCTCTTTTCCTACAGGGATAATACATTATAGACATATTTAAAATACTAAAACAACCTTTGCATACACATGAGAATTAATTTTAATACAACCAATTAATGTACTTAATCAAAGAATTGCTTTCAATTATACATGTACATTATCTGTTTATTCTAGTGTCTTGTTTATCTGTAATTTACATGAATTTTTTTTTTCATGGGCCCTGAATTAGTAATAAATTGTTCTCTAATTCTATAATAAAATCATTTAATAGTTTATTTATTTTCATATCTCAAAAATTAAAATGCTTCATGTCCATGCTTCATTTGATGACTATTCCTTCATTTTTCAATTGAAAACCCTATATGAGGCCCCAATTTGAGAATCTGACGAGGAGTAACTTCCCTTTTATTTTAAAATATAAACAAAAAATGTACTGTAATTTATGTTTTTCACTAAAAAAATCATAATTTTTTCATTCTATAATAGTTATAGTTTTATTTTATGTCTTCAAATATGTCCTAAGTAAGAGAATATTTATTGAAAATATGAAAAAATAATAATCGTTTCACTTATATTAGTAATATCAAAAACAAAAAAAGTTTTCATTTTTTTAACGACATCTCTTATAAAGCCAACGTGCTAAGTCACAAAACTTATCAAAATATTATGTGTATATATATAATGGTATTTCTCTTCATTTTCATTTTACGTTTAATGTCTGGTGGGGCAATTGAGTGCCTTGTTTTACATGTATGTATGATTTTAATGTTCCAAGTACATAGATCTACATGTATACGGTAGAGCGTAGTCTGCATACATGTCATTGTTCATGTTTCAACGTAATCACATGTGCGTAGGGCCTATTTGAAATGTGTACTTATGACTGAAATAATTGTGGTCAGGTCGTTCAGACTTCTTAGTCCATCTTGCAGTTTGAATACTGGACACCCGTTGGTAATACACAGGCACCTCAATTTTTGTCAATGAGTCGCTAAATAAGCCAAATATTGAAAAATTCTACCCTCTCTAGGGCCTATATATAAATACACAAGGTGCATGTGCAACGCCAATTTGACCCCCTCTCGGTTCAGGCTTGAATTTAACATATAATTCGGACATGCCTACCGGTTTGCGTGTAGCATTAGGTTCAAATATGATATTTCTCGCTATACATTTCTTCCTTAAGTTTAAATCCAACGCGTTGATAATGCAAACAACTAAAATTCATGCAAACTTCGAATTTCGTTCCAAGGCCCGATTGCCATCAGCTGACGTCACGGAAATCTAATCTCTACACCAAATACTCTAATACATAAATTAATAAAACATATATTAAATAAAACCAAGGATAACAAACAATATCATTTTTCCGTATTTAATTATTTCTTATTTTTGTTTATTAATGAAATAAATCTATAATTGTTGTATTAAAAAGTTTATGTATTAGAACATTTGGTGTAGAGATTAAATTTCCGTGACGTTTCGCGTTGCGCAGTTGACGTATTTTCGTCACGTTCGAATCACCTTAAGTATAACATGTATAAGGCTTTGCTTTGACTAGACTTATAACTTAATACACAAGGGATATATAGGTGCCAGTTGTATTTTATTTTCTTTAATAACATTTGTTAGACACATAAAGTAGTTAGAACGATTGATTGTATCTTTTCACCTATCTTTTTGGTCTGGTTGTTTTAAAAGAACCAGTATTTGTACAATCTTGAAAATAAGTTGAATATTTTTTTTATCTCGGTTGCATCGATATAATTTTAAGGGAAAAATTTTGACAAAAAATTGGCTTAGCTTTTTTTTTTTACCAGAAGTCATCGGTTATAATTGTACTCAGTTCAAGAAATTTGAATTATCTTTAAAAAAAAAACAGGTTCATGTTTTTTTTTATACTTTATTTCCTCATACCCATGTCTCATGATTTGATTTTTTGTAAAACAAAGTCATTTTCTTTTATGAGGTCAATGCTTTTTTTTCTTTACAAAGACTTATGGAGTTTTGTGACAAGAAAAAAAACGCCGTTAATTGAATTTTTATGAATTATTAATTTCTTTCCATTATATAAGTCCCCGATATCTCAAATGATTATTTCTGGTACATATATTAATTTAAAACGTTCTTCTTAATTCAAAACTAATTCAATATTGAAGGCCAGCTGAGGATTTCTTGAATACCGATAAACAATCGGGACACGCTTTTCCATTATCTGAATACATAGTCGGCGACATATTTGTTTGCTTTTCTTATGAAAACTCTAGTTGTATATCGAACAAAGTAATGTTATAAATCAAAGGAGAGGAGCCGATAAACCAATGCTCATAATTAACACCCCCCCCCCCCTTCCGCCCAAGAAATGTCCAGAACAGACTTCTTCTTTAACTTCTTATGCCTGCGTTAACCTTGATTTGACTTACATTGACCTGTTAAATAATACAATTCAGAAAATGTGATGTTCACCTGCAAATGTACACGAGGAAAAAAATACATTGTATTCTTCAACTAGATCACCATTTGAATCATGTTTCTGGGAGTGTTTGCTTCAGATTTCAGAAAATTATTTTTTTTGTAAATTCGCTTGTCCTCACATTTCTTGAAACATCTTATTGACATCGGTTTAAAAAAACCGTATACGTATTCAAATTTCTAGAGAGATGTCGACACTGCCATTTGCAGGTGGGCATCACGTTAACATCAAGATAAAATCTCTCAAATTCGTTTTACCATAAACTTCTATTTCACAAATTTCTAGGATTGGACCTTTATCAGTTGGATATTTGTACTCTGTTTCCACAATTATGTATCTTGCCGTCTGTTTACATGGAATCTCAATTATATTTGGAGGTACAGCAGGAGCTGTACTGTTGTCAGTGTAACATCTGGTTCGCTGACTGGTTGTAGTCGAAATAACTGGATAGTCCGAGACGTCCAGGTAAAACTGTCTAAATCTGTATTGCTGCCATTGGGGACCTGTAATGTAAAATATTTTGTTATGAGATAAACATAATGTTACCCCAACCTACCCCTAACAATCATAAATTAGTCTAAACAACCTGAGTGTGTTTTAAATAAAAATGGCTTATCATGAGTTGTACATTGTTTTTCTAAATTTTGACCGCCCATTGTGGCCTCATTTTAGGCCTGGGTTCATGATTTGAACAACGTTGAATCCAAAAAGGGTGTGGATGCTACCATATAAATCTGAATAATTAGGACTTTACTGTTTTACTACACAAATTTTCATTTCTATTTTCTTATAAATACTGAAAGGAAAAAGAAACGCAGGGTAGCTTATTATTTGATTTTTTTTATCGCATGACCGAAAGTTACGAACACTGGTCAGATGAAATGTTAGTTACTATGCACCAAAATCAGTGTTCAGAATTACTCAACCGTTAAATGTTTGACTCGACGTCATATTGGAAAATGCTTAAAAGACCAATCACGTACAAATGAAGAGTTTTTCAATAAATCTTGCTGTTCTGTTTGATTCAATTGAAGTATACACATTGTTTGTCCTTGAAAATTTACAGATGATACAAATTTCTTGCAATCTTAGTACAGTTGACGGAAGTTCCATAGGGTGAGATTTTCAAATTACAGTTGTAAGGACAAAGACAAAGTGGATTTCTAAACAGTTTCTTGTAAATTTCCCCCCCATAGAACGTGTAATTCGTTGACAGAGATGTTCTGGAATGGTTTCCAACCAATCGTGTCGATGATGTTAACGCCAAACAGTCGAGTTGTTTTCCTGTCCCTTAAGCTTGTTTTATCGCCACCTAATACCACAAAACTGCTGTTAATACAGTAGACTATCATAATCATTACATTCACCCCGAAACGGAAAGAAACTAATTACACAAATTGGGGTTTTTAGCTGATAAAATTAATGGTTGTGTTTCTCTCACTGGCGCATGCGCCTTTCGTTTGACTTATTTTCGACGTTGTTGCTCATGCCCAATATACACGTAGCAAGGGGTTAGATTGATTGTATATAGTTTTACGTCCCTCTCGAGAATTTTTCACTCATATTGAGGCGTCATCGTATGCCGGTGAAGGACTTACAATTTTTACCTTTACTCGGCACTCAGGGACATTGAGCAGTGAGGTATCTTTAACGTGCAAACGCTTGCCGCTGACACGGGGCCTCGGTTTTTAAGGTCTCATCCGAAGGACCCGCAACTTTCACTTAAAAGTGCTGATCGCATGGCGAACAGTTGCTACCAATTTTATCGACTAGGTCAGTCGCGGCCTAAACCAGTGTTAGAAAAATAAACACTCTGATGAATTTTGATGCAAAGGAGAAACTAGACTGTGACAGATACATTGTACGCGGGGAGACATTGAAGATATTGAGTTTTCGATTTTCTCTCTGTGTGGTATCGATCGTCATATGAGTTCCAATAACTCATGATTTATAAGACAAAAACAAAGAAAAAATTGGTTGTATTTTCTTAAAAGATAATTTTAAAAGTAAGATAGGAATACTGAAAATGATAAAAAGAAAAATGAATTTAATTCCTCTCAAAAGTTCACCGTACATTTCTGTTTCCTTTCAGTATAATGCCTAAAGTGGGCCTCACCCTAGCCAAGTGGATTATAGTATAATCAATCTTAAATCTACCTGAACATGTATTCTCATTAATATGAAGAATCGCAACTTTAAATTGCTGTTTTAGCAGATTTGTCTTCTTTATTCCTAAGTAAAGTTATGATTCATTGTGGCCCGACCCTAGCAACAGGTATCATAATCATATATAATCTGTTCAAATGTTAACGAATAGTGTCTGAAGATGAGTCTATATACAAGTAAATATAATTACTGATTTTAAACAATTTTTTTAATGTATTTCTATATATATATATATATATATATTTTTGTAACTGTGACCCAGCGCCTTAAGGGTCATGCATTGCTGCTACCCATAGTGGCTATGAATTGAACAACTTGAAACTTAAAAACAAACTTTTGGAGAATGTTTTTTTTTTTCATAAATATGACAAATCATGGCTATCACATGAGTTATCTTTTTTGCCAAGCACATGTTAGAGAGAACTTTTTGAAAGGATGTCATTTCCACTCAATCTTAATTACAAGTATATCTACTTGAAAGTTTTAAACATATTTCTGCTTCAGACTCTCGTGTTTCATTAATTGTATTTGGTTCACTTTTATACCTTTTAATATCAATTCAGAGAATTATTATTTTATATTACTTTTATCTGAATATGTCTTAAGGCTAGGCAGTTTTAGGCATAAATGATCTTTGTTCTTTAATATCGTGTCGCTAGAGTCTGATGCATCTGTGTTTTTTTCTGAATTGAAAGGTTCTGTCTGTCTAGCTCTCCGTTTGTCTGCGTTCTCTGCAATTTTTTTTCCTTGTTTCTCTGGCAGTTTTATTTTTAACTTGATTGAGCGTATAAGGGGTAAATTTTTAATAGTTAATAAAATCCATTTTGAAATTTAAAAGCAAAAGCAATTTATTTCTCTTGCATCATAGCGGGGAGATCCTATGGATTGTTCATGTACATGAAGCTCTCTCTTGACAACATAAGACAAAAATCAGAGAGGGCTACATTATTTTCGATTACTGAAACCTGTATGAACAGTTTTGTAGAAAATGACTATTATGCTTCGATCAAAATCAAGTCCAAGACTCAGTATTTTTCACACGCTTTACACTGCCACTCACTTTTCAAGCACTTATCTTCTTTAAATCACAATACATGTACATGTCCATTGTCTTAGAGATATCTAGTTCATGGTAGATTTTGTTTCCTTTTCAAGGCAAGAAGCAGATAATTGCATGTTCTCTGTATTAGTTTTTATTATATATATAAATGTGCAAGTCTTGAAACCAGTACATGGAAATGTGTTTTTATATAAAATGTTCAATCAAAATACGTGTAGTAGATATTTTATGTTCATTTGAGACATATAATCAGACCATTTTCTATATGTTACAATCACCATATCAAATTAACAGAGAAGTACTTAAAAGTATCATTAAATTCACAAATGATCAATTGGAGTTCTGTTTCAACATATAATTCATATTTATAGAACATTACAATGAAAGATATTTAAATTCTTCATTTTCTCTTGAAGTAAATATTATGCAAGTATACCTTCTCTTCTGTAATAGATATTCACACTTTTTATGCTGTATGGTTTTCCAAGATCTACTTGAAACCAAGCCCTGTTTGTGTATATAGGAGCAGTATGAGCACAATATTTTTCTGTGATATTTCTATCACCATCATTTGCCCGTGATGCATCGTGGTATGTAGAACTTTGAGAGAGTGTTGTTGTGGATCTTCTGCTCAGGTTTTCTGTAAAAAATATGAAACAAGTAGAGGAAAGGCATGGTTTGCACATAATTCTACTACGTACACGATTATTGCGGAGATCATAGAAATGCTGCGAACATTATTCTCCAATAAATCACGAAAGTCATCAAAAGATTATCAGATCAGAAACATGTTTCAAACCTGTGCAGTTAAAATGTACTTAAGAATGAAATACTTATTTAAACCACATTCACTCTAAAAAAAGTTTTACTAGTTGTTTTTAAAATAAGGTATTAGATTAATAAAAACTAGTAATTATTAGTAATCCATTTAGTCAGAATAGCAAGTAAATGACTATCAAGGTTAGTAATTGTAAACATAATTAGTAAAAAGGATGAATTCATTTACTTATAAAGTGATTTACTAAGTATCAATAGAATAACTTAAACTATAGGAATTATATTACTTTAAGTTAGTAAATGAACTCATTTTTGGTAAATTATTATTACTTAATTTAGAGATAATGCTTTAGAGATATGCTTTCTATTTACTAGATTTTATGAATTATTACTAAGTAAATGCAATTCTGAAATTAATTAAAATGTAGAATATTATTACTCAAAAGAATACTATTTTGTGAAATTCTTATCATATTTACTAAAATCGACATTATTTACTAGAAACACTGCAAGGTACCGACCCTCTGACATTTGAGTGCTACTCACAGATTTCTAAATCAGAGATCCCTAACTGGGCCCTCTGAATAGTTTAATAGAAGAAATCTACTTAAGATGGAAACAATTATACTTTCAATTTCTTTGCCAATTTCTTTGTAATTGTTTTATTATATATAACAATAAAACATTTGATTCAAACTTCGAAAGCCTTAAAAATTGAATAAGTTGTATGTTTTTAAGGACCATTTTAAAAATGGTTAAACATTTCAAGTACTTAATATCGCATTTTTATTAGTGTTACTTTTTTTCACATGAAGGAATATTCAGAAGAAAGATAACTCCTCCTCACAGACAATTAATATGGAAGCCAAAATTCTATTTTACATTTTAAGAATTCAATCCCGACAGTGATTAGACTACTATATTTAAGTAATTACTGCTCTGAATTCTTCTTGATTTAGTAAATAAAATTTTGCTCTAAGTAAATCAATTCAATACAATTTAAACAAAATGTGTTTGTGAAACACCTATGCCCCCGTATGGCAACATAGCAAAGGTTAAAATTTTCTTATATGCAAATTTAAATTATTGGTATTTCTTGATATCTCCAAGGTCAAAAGGTCAAGGTTATTGGTATCTAATGAAAGGTCCTGCCACAAAAAATACATATGTGAAATATGGAAACACTTGCCTCAACCCTTCAGAAGTTATGGTCAAGGTTATCAATTTTGAAATGTAGGTCAAACTCCAAGGTCAAGGACAAAGGGACAGATTTGGTGGTACCCAAAGATAGATCTTGTCACATGGATGAATGCACTAACCCTAATCCTTCTAAAGTTACATTCAAGATTTGCTTTTTAAAAGTGGTTCAAGCTCCAAGGTCAAAGAGTCAAAGTTCTTGGTATCCTATGAATGGTCTTTTTCAAAATGATTACATATGTGTAAGTATGAAAGCACTATTCCTTACCGTTCAAAAGTTATGGCCAAGGTTAAAGTTTTTTTCACAAGGATGGAAATCTCCAAGGTCAACGTCAAAAGTTCATAGTTGTTGGTATTCAATGAAAGTTCTTACAACAAAAAAATATATATGTGAAGTATAAATGTCCTGGTATGTACTATTCAAAAGATTTGGAAAAAGAATAAGTTTGGGTTTTTTGTGTATAAGTCAGTCAAACTTCGAGGTGAAGGTCAAATTTGGTGATACTCAAAGAAAGGTCTTGTCACAAGGAATACACGTGTGAAATATGAAAGTCAAAGATCCGCTAATTCAAAAGTTATAGGCAAGGTTAAAGTTTCTGCGGATAAACAGACAAACAGAAAGACAGCTAGACAGACAGACGGACACGACAAAAACTATATACCCCCGAAACTTCGTTTACGGGGGCATTGAAATATTAATAATATAGCAAATAGTGGTAAAATGTAAGTAAAGACCAAGTAATGTTATTACTTATATACACAAATTTAAGTAAATATAAATTACTAAGTAAAACTTTTTAGTGTGTAAGTAAAACAATTCTTTAAAATACAACCAGAAGTCTCTGTCGAGACTGTAGCTCTACTGGTTTGTACTTATAAAAAACCATTGCACTGTTTTATGTATCTTTGTGTAGTCTACTTGTGTGCCAACTTATTTTGAAATCAAACTAAAACTGTAGAAGGAGTGTTTTAAAGGAATTTCACAGAAAATTCTTTTTCATTAACCATGGTAACACCAAACATCGAAATCAAAAACCGATGCACTATTCTATGCATCTTCGTGTAGTCTACTTGTGTGCCAAGTTATATTGAAATCAGACCAAAACTGTAGAAGGAGTAGCGTTTTAAAGAATTTCACACAAAATTCTATTTTTATTAACCATGGCAACACCGATCACCGAAATCAAAAACCGATGCACTATTCTATGTATCCTAGTGTAGTCTACTTGTGTGCAAAATTATATTGAAATCAGAACAAAACTGTAGAAGGAGTAGCATTTTAAAGGAATTTCAAAGAAAAATCTATTTTTAGTAACCATGGCAACACCGTTCATCAAAATCAAAATCCAATGCACTATTCTATGTATCTAAGTGTAGTCTACTTGTGTGCCAACTAATATTGAAATCAGACCAAAACTGTAGTAGGAGTAGCGTTTTTAAGGAATTTCAGAGAAAATTCTATTTTTAGTAACCATGGCAACACCGTTCATCGAAATCAAAAACCGATGCACTATTCTATGTATCGTAGTGTAGTCTACTTGTGTGCCAAGTTATATTGAAACAGAGCAAAACTGTAGAAGGAGTAGCATTTTAAAAGAAATTCACAGAAAATTCTATTCTTAGTAACCATGGCAACACCGTTCATCGAAATTAAAAACCGATGCACTATTCTATGTATCTTAGTGTAGTCTACTTGTGTGCCAAGTAATATTGAAATCAGACTACAATTGTAGGAGGAGTAGCGATTTTTGTTTACAGACAGACAGACAGACGGACGGACGACGGACGCATTACTATCGCATAAGCTCTTCTGGTCTCTGACCAGTAGAGCTAAAAATCAAGTAAAACATTTGAATCTAGTAATTGAGATTAATTTCAGTAATTGATTTTAAATTTTAAGTAAATGCTTAGTAGTTATCTTTTACTTATCTTTGTTATTTCAAGTAAAAAATGACTACTAAGTAAAACTTTTTTAAGAGTGAATTTAATTGAATGTGTTATTTTTTGCAATTTAAACACTTTATATTGCAGAAAGGAGCTGATGAATGTAGGTTTTTAAAGCCAAGTGGGCTGTTTTACGAACCTCCCTACGCCATATTTTAGTGATAAAGTGGTAAAATAGGAAATTGATTTTGTCATTGTATATTCAGAAAGATTAATATATATAAGCTACAAACAGATTTATAATTTTAAAAAACTAAATTTTAATGCAGCAAAAGCATAAATCGTCTGCATTCTATGCACAGGTAAAAAAAAACAAATTTACACTCTGATGCTTAAACCTTTGCCTCCGGTGTGATAAAATGTTTTCAAAGCTACCATTTAGAGATAAAAAGAAATTATAATATTGTAATATGCTTGTATAACACATACATGTAATAGTTACTGTATCTTGTAAACAGTCCTTTAAGATGAACCTATTTTATGATATGTTATAGCTTACTTACGATAACACTTTTTATAGTGATTCAACATATCACTTATTTGTCTTTAACATAAATTAAGATTGTGTATAATTTATTATATATATCTCATCAATTACTGGTATTATATGCAATATTTTTCAAATGTAAGATACCTGAAATGGACAAAAGCTGTCCGGAGATAAAATTATTCACACCAATTATTGCACATAGAAAAGGATATATGAATCAGATATCAGAAAAGTTCGTATAAAATTTCAGCTACATACCGTAACAGTGAGTAAATCCAAGTAACAAAACTACCCACACACCTCTTAAGGCAGTCATATTAAAGGAAGAAAAAATTATCGTTGTCAAAATCTGAGGAGCAGGTAAATCAAAACGACGGTAGTGTAAAATGATCTAAAAAGATAATTTAATTATTGTGAATATTAAACAATCAAGCAGCATAATAAACGCTTTAATTTTTTTTTATCTACATCTGTCGACAACTTGCCAGTTAACAGAAAAGTTTCGAAGAGGCTTTTATGAAACTATATAAGATTTTTATCTATATATATAATTTCGGTAGACTTGTTTTACAAAGAAAGGTGATCATGATACACCTGAAAATTCAATATTTTGAAAATGAAGACACTTACATGCATCAGGTCAGAAATTAGTCATATACGAGGAATACGTTAAATTATGTCTTTTTCTGCAAATTTGCGATAAAACCAAGACGTCTATGCCCAACAACACTCATCTGGCCCTACTGTTCTTTACCTGATATACCTACTGCGGTCTCGCCCTATCCCCATGCAGACGTGTTGATTAAAATAATTATATTGTCATTTTTGCATGTGCATTTCTATTGAAATTGTAAATGAGCGCAGTTCTGGGGAGGGGGTACTACATGTAATCTGGGTAGGAAAAGTTATCATTATACTATTGATTTAAAAAAAATAAAAAAAAAGAAAAAGTGAATAGCCTGCCAAAAAATTGCAGAAATCATGGTACATGTATATTATTTGTAAGATAACGTACTATTTATCAATTTGTAAAATGTGTAGGTCACCTGAGATAACTAACATTATGATCAGATAAAAGTAGTTTTTAATGTCTAACTTCCTCAATCGTTTTCGAAGTTTTATCTGCAGGGTCAGGGACGCATTTGAGAAGAGGTCCTTATGTTAAGTATTACTTATTCGACAAAAATATGTTTAACATGTAAATAAATGTTCATATCATGATATATTGCCATTCCAAGGTGATGGAATGGCATCAAATACCTCCATCCCTTCGAAATTAATGTTAAGAGGACATTTTATTTTATTTTAAATTTCCTATTAAACAAGAGGCCCATGGGCCTTATAGGTCACCTGAGCATCATGCAACAACTTTCAAATGATTGAATTTGGTTTATGTTTTAAGCTAGATGTAATGGCATTCACAACTTTGAAAGAGGCACCATTGCTAATCATAACTATACACTTAGGAATTATTTAGTTTGTTTACTTAATACCCATAAGCAGGGTAGGGGAACAAAAATGTATGTCAACTAATCAGTAATATTCAGCAACAAGTTGCTGTCCTTTAAAAAAAGGACTACAATACGTGGACCATATGCATGTTTTCTTTTAACCGAAATTCAATCAAAGAAAATTTGTTAAGTTTATTGGATATTAATGTAGGTTCGTTTGCATTTTCTACAGTGATCTCTCTACTTTGACCGATAGTACTTTCAAAGCAAAATTGTTAAATTTAATCTCCGATTGGCATATAGTTTTGTTATTTTCAAATCCATGCTATTTTGATACATATATAACCCATAATGGCTGGTAATTAACATATACCTGAACTGAATTGAACTGAACTGATTTTTTTTTCAGTTTCAAAATTCGGTTCAGCAGGCATGCTTACGAAGCTATCTTAGGACTAAGACATATCTTAAGACGGTCTTACGAAATATCTTAGTCTTAAGTGAGACCATTGAAGCTATCCTATTTTAGGAGACCTCCTAATCTTATTCCTAACTTTAAGACGACTGCGGACATGTCTTAAGTCATATCGTGAGTGATTGTAAGAAGTGTTGGTGTCAGGAAAACAACTAAGAATTATTTTTTGTGTAAATAAATCAAATATTTGTTGTAATTAATGATTTCTTTAAAGAACTCAATCAATTTATGAACATTGTACAGTGTGAATGTATGCATAAGCCCGTGCAAATAAAAATGGAGAGAACAGTTAATAAAAATGCACTCATTACAGGCCCGTAGCAACAGGGGGTGGGGGAGGGTGGAGGGGGCCCTGCCCCCCCCATCACACTTTTTTCCAAAAATTACTTTTTCTATTTGAAATGTTCATTGAAAGGCTTGTTGGTCCCCCACTATTTACTATATGTAATTGATATCAGGGAAATGTAGTATTGAATTCTAAGAAATTGGTACTGAAAGAAGTTGACATTGAAAAAAATTGGCCTCCCCCCCCCCCTCCACTATATACTATATGTAATTATGTTCCCCAAACGAAGTTGGGGAACATATTGTTTTTACTCTGTTTCTTATTATTATGTTCCCCAAACGAAGTTGGGGAACATATTGTTTTTACTCTGTTTCTTATTATTATTAAGGTCTTCCGTCTCCAACGGAAGACCTTCTTGTTATTCTTCGGTTTCTTTTTCCCTATTATTATTATTATTATTATTTTTCTTACCGATTTTGTGCACGCGATTTCTCGTAAACTACTGGACCGATTCTGATGACACTTTCACATCTGATAGGTACTGATCTGAACCTTATTGGAAATTTTTTTCGTCGATGACGTCACTTCCGGTCGTGAGATATGGTCAATTTTCTGATTTTAAAAAGCAATTTTGTCTTGATTACTTAGCAAAAACTGCTTAAGATATGAAGCTACGACTAATTGGAGATGATAGTTCATGATTTATAGCGTTGCAGAATCGCCTTTTCGTGCGTCGTCAATACTTCCGGTCGAAACCGGAAGCGAATTTAAAAAACGCAATTTTTCAATTTTTCTTTTTTAATATTTTTGTATTTGAATTGCATAAAGACTCCTTTTCTGAATCCAAATATGTAATTTGTTTGAAAATCGACCGAGCCAATCTCGAGATATTTGCAATTGAAAACGCGAAGCGGCGATTTCGATGGCTGAATGGTTAGCGCGTTGGATTGTCACGCGGGCGACCCGGGTTCGATCCCGCTTGTGACCAAAAAATTTTATCACTTTTTCTGCTCGATTTTTTTATTTTTATTAATTTTAGACTATTTGCAAAAACATATTTTGAAATTTTAAGTATATCTTACGTAATAAGGGGTCACAAGGGGCCAGAATGCTAAATCTTTGACACTTCATATCTTGAAAAAAAGGAATATTTTGATAAGCAATATTGAACAAAAGTTGGTCAGAATAATAGTCTAAACAATATGCAAGCTTTGAATTTTTGTAAAATGGTCCCTTTAGGGACTTGTAGGGGTGGCCCCTGAATATTTATATTAAGTATATCTTCTAAACAAAAAGAAATCTCTGAATAGTTGTAGAGCAAAAAGTCTTTGAAATCACAAGACCTTTCGTTTGATATCAAGAAAAAGGGGCTGCCTTCTCAAATTAAGGGCTCAGAGGGGCCAGAAGTCTTTCATCTTTAACTCTTTAATGATCAATATTTTGTGATACATTACAGAAGCAAAGTTGTTCATATTAACGATTTGCAACAATATATTACAATATTTTAGTCGTTATGTTAGATAATTAGGGGTCACGAGGGGCCAGAATGCTAAATCTTTGACGGTTCATATCTCGAAAAGGGGGAAAATTTTGTTAAGCAATATTAAACAAAAGATGGTCAGAATAAAGATTTAAACAATAAGCATACTTTGAATTTTTGTAAAATGGCCCCAATAAGGACTTGTAGGTGTTGCCCCTAAATATTTATATTAAGTATATCTCCTAAATGATAAGAAATCTCTGAAAAGTTGTAGAACAAAAAGCCTTTGAAATCACAAGACCTTTCGTTTCATATCAAGAAAAAGGGTCTGACCCCTCAAAATAGGGGCTCAAAGGGGTCACTATTCTTTTATCTATAACTCTCTTATGATCAATATTTTGTTATACATTATTGAGGCAAAAGTATTCATCTTAACGATTTGCAACAATATGTGATAATATTTTTGTCATATGTTACGTAATTAAGGGTCACAAGGGACCAAAATGCTATATTTTTTATGCTTTATATCTCAAAAATTGCGGAGTATTTTCATAAGCCTTATCAAACAAAAGATGTTCAGAATATTGTGATTAAAATGAGAAACTTTAACTTTAACTAGGGAAAACTCAATGTCATTCTCTTTAAACAAAAATCTCAGTCAAAATCACATCTCATCTTATCTAGAAATTCAACGGAAGACCTACTCGTTGCTCGCAACGAGATCTCATCTAGTTATGTTCCCCAAACGGAGTTTGGGAACATATTGTTTTTACTCGGTTTCTTATTATTATTATTATTATTATGTTCCCCAAACGAAGTTTGGGAACATATTGTTTTTACTCTGTTTTTTATTATTATTATTCTTATTTTTCTTCCTGGGAAAATTTTGTCCGCGAGTGATCTTGTAAACTACACATCAGACTAAGGTGAAATGTTTTTAGGGTCAGTAGACATGTAATGTAGATTTGCGGAACGAAGGTCATTTTGCGCGCACGTGCTTGCAAGAGCGCGCACGTGCAACATGATAAATGACCGATTACATTGATATAGATGTAACTTTTTAAATTTTTGATGAAATGCTTTAGAAATCATAATATAAGGATACATTAGAAGTATAGACAATACGACATGGTCAAAATAGCAAGATCTCACGCGCATGCACGTGCGCTGCACTCTGATTGGCTGAAACAAAAATCTCAATATCTTTTTTGTCTTTTGACGAAATGCTTTGAAATTTTGATTATAGCCATGCATTAGGATATCCTACAATATGATATATGGCAATTATCATGAAAACACGTGCATGCACGTGCGCTGCAATCTGATTGGCTTAAACTTTAAATAGCTATAACTCATTTGGATTTCAACCAAAGACGATGGGATTTGAAATATAGATAGATATTATGAACTACTACAAGAAGGTATGGTCACCATGCACATGGATACACGTGCATGTACGTGCGCTGCAATCTGATTGGCTGAAACTTTAAACAGCTATAACTCCCTTGGTTTCCAACCAAACAGGATGGGATTTGGAACATAGATAGATATAATGGACTACTACAAGAAAGGTATGGTCACCATGCACATGCGCACGTGCGTGTACGTGCGCTGCAATCTAATTGGCTGAAACTTTTAACAGGTATAACGCCCTTGGTTTTCAACTATATGGGGTGGGATTTAGAACATAGATAGATGT